TCCCATGCTTTATGAAAGTTATTCACCCTTACATTTAAGGGGATAAAAGCCTGGTAATTTAATTTTTCCACAATGATATGAATAGGCCTGTGACCTTTCGGAAATGTGAACTTAAATGAGGACGGGAGGTTCGCTAGTGCCAATTTAGGTAAATTCAACTACATGACGTTAATCAGCTTAATGAAATAGGGTGAATACCTCTCATGTATATGATCTGCTGGTAGACTCGAAACCCACTAATAAACGAAAATCCAATAGTTCGGTTGACTACTTTATGTCTGTTGAACTGACTTACATTTCGAGTAAAAGTGTTTAATGAAGAGACTCTAAGTTTGATTCCACCAGAATACGACGGCGAATTCCTTTTGATCAGCTTACTGGAACATTCTTGTTGATGCTGTTTTCGAGGCAATCTCTTTCGATTTCAGTGACGGACATCAGGAACAGGAGATCATCCTTACAACCATATTCAAGCTAACGAGTCAAGAAAACTCTAAATGGAATGGGCTCAACATTAGTATATTCTGTATACACACAGACGAAGGAATGTGATGCACGAAAAGCGGATCGGATTTTACTTTATAATCCTGAAATACTGACGCGTTTCCAGTTTGTATGTGCATGCGCGTTGTGTGCTTTATGCATAAAATTAGCCTCTCGCTTGATCAAATCAACCTAAACAAATCATATTCACACGAATAATAAATACTGTTGTCGACTGCAGTGACAAAATATGTTTACCATTTGATCTACTACTACTCATGGCTGTGTAGCGTAGTAGTAATGTGTCACCAAAATTCGTATGACTCAGTCTGACATTCCATCGTGTGTTCTGATGAGATGGACAGCAAGGCAAAATGAAGTTCAATAGCAATGCGAAACCCACTCATTTTTATTGTGATAAAAAGCCTATTATCGGTCCTTAAACCTTCTTAGGTGTCCTAAGGGACAACATTCCTACGTGGTATATACTGAGAAAATGCGGGGCTCGTACACATAAGTCTGTCACGAAACGCAAGATAAGAGAGGATATTGAAATTAATAGATTAGGAAATACGTTGAATGTGAGGAATGGTGGTAGCAAGTTGAGTAAGAATCACTTGTGATTAATTGAAAGATTGAAAGAGAGAGAGTGTGTTAGGCCGCCGTCAAAAAGAAGACTACTCAATTTGTTAGCTGAGTGACGGTTCTAATCAAGACAACACTCAAGAGATGTATTAACCCTATTTCGTCTAAGGTGATGAAGGACTGGTAGTAGAATTTTCTCACAATGATATGAGTTGAGCTGACGTTTCCATTGAATTTCACATAGCCTTGCTTTCCCAAAAGTTTGGGAAATACCACGTTGGAGACAGTGCTGTTGCCATGACACCATTCAAGTTTCAAGATGGTAGATCAATCGATGCAGCGTATGCATACCAAAAGTTTGGGAAAGCAAGGCTATGTGAAATTCAATGGAAACGTCAACTCAACTCATATCATTGTGGGAAAATTATACCACCAGTCCTTCATCACCTTAGACGAAATAGGGTGAATACATCTCATGTTACTGATTTACTGGTAGTCTCGAAACTCTACTCCAAGACAACACTCGTTCAAAAGACATGTCAAGCTCATCAGCCGAAACAGACGTGCGGGGCCACGCAATTCCAGCCAAGCTTCTTTTTGAGTGATTAAACCTTAAAACCCAGACTAACGGGTTCGGACTAGTGGTTTCGTAACCTGACTTTCACGCGTAAATACTAGCATCTCATCACTTGAACCAGGGTTAGTTACAAACCAACGCAATCTTGGTCATCCCTTTTTTCTTTTTTCCTTGATTCATTAAGCCTTTATGACCCAGGGCTGATTTTGAGCATTTTCTTGTTACCGGTTTCGTGTACATACACACACATACACACTCGAATATACGTGGATTAACCAAACATTTCTATATCCATCTATATACCTTAAATTTTGCTTGCAATAAGTATATATAGCATATAGAAAAAAAGCTGGTTAATATTCTTGGCTTGGTATTAACTTGAGGCTTTTATAAGAATAAGTCCCAGCTCTGACTATATTCATCACTTGACGAACGAAAGATCAGCCCGTCTTCGCCCGAAACGTTGGAGGATGTTTCGTGGACTGCGTCAACCTAAAGGGTCGCAGTACAACCTGAATGAACCAACGTCTTCTGGGGATAGTGACCTACGATTCTCTCCATCATGTACTTCCATACAAACTGAAGGTCTTTACATCAATGACTATTCCTATTTTTAGCAGAACATCCTTTCCGGTACAAGTGCGACATCTTCAAGATGCTTTGTCGCCATGTTTCGGGGATTCCGGCCTGACGAGTGTTTCCGACCAACTGTTCATAGTTGATTAGAAATACCAAAAAACTAATAGAATGGCTCCTTTGATTGTGAGTTGCTGTTTCAGAATAACCAAACATTGGTTAGGACATACCATATTCAACAAGCCTGACGGTGCATCAGTTCAGTTGAGGAAAATTCTGCCTCGGGCCACATTCTACTTGCTTCCATGCCAACTTGCCAGTTTCAGATCTCTAAGCGGCCTTCGATCCGTCTAGTGAGACGGGTTCTATGCATTCCAAATAGCCTGGGGCCCTCATCCCAATGGGCACAATGGCTTGATCAGAGTTTATCAACCACCACGATTCGGTTAATACTGTGTAGAACCCTGACATCTATGGGTCCAATCTAAATATGTATGCTATAATCTTTAGGAAATATTTCATTAAAATGGATTGATACTACCATGGTGATACGAATCTTGAGCTCTGGCCGAGTACTTATTCGATCACACATTGTGATGCCGGGTGAGAGTGGCAAGAGTCTTAGTTGACGCTTCGAGACTGTGAAACTGTAAGTTAACATTCTGATGGGATCCAATAGCCACATGTCTAACTTGTCTCAACCAACATTGATTCAACTATCAATCCGCTAATTGCCTAAACTGACCAAGAATAACTAAGTTCTTATTCAAGCATAATTGATAATATTAAAAATTAGTTATACAGAAAAATCTCACAAGGTTGTTCCCAAGGCCTTTCAGATACAATCACACATCGTAAAGGCTCTTAGACTCGATTCATGCTGACTCTTGGACTCATTTTGTTGGCGTCGGTTTCCAAGTGGAAATGCACGGGGCGGCGTAATTGGCTTGGTCACATGGTTGCCGGCATACCAACAGGTTGATTGATGGGCCCCAATTTGCCGAGCAGGCAAAAAAGCAAAGACAACCGAGATGGAGATAGAAATCGAATCTAACAGATCCAGGCAAAGGGTCCTCATGATTGCGTGAGTCTGGTGCCGGTCGGGAGTTTGCGTGCATGCTTGGATGAAGCGAGGCGGTTGAACTTATGTCAGAGTGCACATCCATGCGTGTATGCTTGTACATGTGCCTCTCTTAGCGTCCGGTGAGGCTTTCTGTTTGCGTTGGTCTGGCCTCTTGGGAGCATGTACAACTATCCAACCCGATATGTGGGCGTTTCGAGCGAGTTGAAATGAGTGAAAGTGGCTTGGCAACAAAGATGCCAATAAAAAATGGAATTGCATTTTATTTTGCCTCTTATTATCTGTCTCTGTACGGTCTTTCTCTCTTGCATGTGCTCAAGTACGTTAGCTCGTCTGCCCTCCTTCTCGACAGTCCCAAAACCAGCTTCCTGTGGTTGCGTTTATGTTTCTCTTGAGCTTATCCGCTCCAACAGCATGTGAACACATCACCATGCCGTATCCACTCGAGATGCCCCTATGCATAGGGCCATCATTGATATGACCCAATCATCCTCAGGATAACACTCTCATTCACTACTCCTATTCCGTCCTGTGCGATCCACCCTGAAATGGAGACCTATCAAGTTTCCATTCTGAAAGAGGCAAGGAAGGTAGCCTTGAAAGAGGGGGAAAATCCTTTTAAAACGTCATTTGTGTTGCTTGGCTGAACACTGGTCTGAAATACCATGTTGGAGACTGTGCTGTTGCCATGACACCATTCAAGTTGCAAGGTGGTAGATCGATCGATGCAATGTATGCTCTATTAAATGGATCGAATCACACTTTAACCCCTTTTGGCCATACCTCTTCGGTTAAGTTAAAAAATTGGCCTAAGAAGGTGAATGTTTATAAAGTCTTTGCGTTCAGTATCTCCCATGAGTCCTAAGAGGCGAAATATCGCTTTAACTGGAAGCTCCCAGTCAACTGTGGGTTGTCATCAGCTCTGTACGTAATGAGGGCACCACAAGATCGCGTAGATAGGCTTTAGGTGTCGTCCAAAGGTCTAGACTAAAACAGAAATCTGACTTTAAGCGAGACCCATTGGGTGATGATGAGGCTTTAGTTGATGCAACCATGAACGGCCCTTTTTCTTCTAAATATCTGAAAATATGATCAAACGCAAATTCATTGCTCCATACTCGTTGGGTCGAGATGGAAAATGATACTAATGTAAATGGGAAATGCGATTTGTTGGCCGAGGCTATTGCCCGGTTGCAAGTTTGTACCTGCACGATTGCCGGAAAAGGGTCTCCGGTTCTCTGCAGCCAGGCCTCAATTGAACGTCACGCAACGGAAATTATGCTGTTAAAGGACCAATCACCCAGATTAGACAGGCTTTTTTAGGCCAAAATCTGAGGGAACAGTCAAACGCTTAACCTTGAGGCATCTTAAGCTGTCGACCTTTGACACCGGACCCTCTTTTCGTCCACAGATCCTGTTTTCTCGTAACAGAGTCGCTCCTCGCGTCACCACATTCCTCCAATCCATGCCCCT